AAGTTTTTTTTTTTCTATTTTACATCCTTTTCATATGCACTTTAGAATCGTTTTGCCTACTTCTTCTCAAAAAACTGCCAGAATTTTTATAGGAATTGTGTTGAAACTATATGACAGTTAGGGAGAATGGACGTCTTTTTTTTTTTTTTGAGACAGTGTCTTGCTATGTCACCAGGCTGGAGTGCAGTGACATGATCTCAGCTCACTGCAACCTCTGCCTCTCAGGTTCAAGCAATTTTCTTGACTCAGCCTCCTGAGTAGCTGGGATTACAGGCATGTGCCACTACGCCCAGCTAATTTTGTATATTTCAGTAAAGACAGGGTTTTGCCATGTTTGTCTGGCTGGTCTCAAACTCCTGACCTCGTGATCTGCTTGCCTCGGCCTTCCAAAGTGCTGGGATTACAGGCGTGAGCCACTGTGCCCAGCCCCAAAAGCTTTCTTGACAGCAGAGAAAGCATGCTTAATGACATGGGAAAGTTCTCTAGAGATTCAAGAAACTGTAGGTAGTCCTGAATGCCTAGAATATAGGAAATGAAGGGAGGAGTGAGGTTGGCAGGGACCTAGTTCCTTCTGTCTTATATTTCCTGGTAGGGTTTTAATTTTTGTCTTCAAAGTACTGAGGAACAACTGTAGTTTTAATCAGGGGCTTGACTTAATCAGATTTGTACCTGGGAAGGATTTCTCTTGCTGCAGTGGATGGATGGGACTGAAGAGGGCTGGACAGGAGCCAAGACGACCCACAGTTCAGAGGGAAGAGTCCCAGTGAAGTAATGATAGTGGGCAAGGCAGGAAAGGGCTGGGCCCAAAGATGTCAAGGGCAGAAGCAACAAAGTTTATTATCAACTGGATAGTGGGTAAGAACATGTCAACAATGCCTCCCAGTGGCTGGGCATGGTGGCTCACACCTAGCGCTTTGGGAGGCCGAGACGGGTGAATTGCCTGACCTGACCAACATGGTGAAAACCAGTGTCTACTAAAAAAATACAAAAATTAGCAAGGCCTGGTGGTGCACACTTGTAATCCAGTTACTGGGAGGCTGAGGCAGGAGAATTGCTTGAACCTGGGAGGCAGAGGTTGCAGGGAGCCAAGGTTGTGCCACTGCACTGCACTCCAGTGTGGCGACAGAGTAAGACTCTGTCTCAAAACAAACAAACAAACAAACAAAACAATGCCTCCTGGGTTTCTGGCTTAGCAAGATGAATAAATAACATATTAGTGTTTTCTTTTTTTTTTTTTTTGAGACGGAGTTTCGCTCTTGTTACCCAGGCTGGAGTGCAATGGCGCGATCTCGGCTCACCGCAACCTCCGCCTCCTGGGTTCAGGCAATTCTCCTGCCTCAGCCTCCTGAGTAGCTGGGATTACAGGCACGCGCCACCATGCCCAGCTGATTTTTTGT